AAGCTGTGTTTAACACCATGTTTAAGCTACAGGTAAGAATGCCATTTTAAAAAATTAAGGGGATATCCCCTTAATTTTTTGTGAGGTGATACACGTAGGATAACAATTTTGATCAGACAATTTTTAAAATTAATTTTGTAAGGTGCTATTCCCTTTACAAAAACAAACAGACACTGGAATTCCTTTGACCCTTCCATATAAATGTATGGATTTGGGAAATTATTCTAATATTGCTGGCAAATTGGGTAAAACTGTTGTATTGTAAAACTGTTGCTTTCATAAGCAATAGTGTTATCATATCAGGAGTATAATAATTTGCCTTTTTTACTTTCATGCTTTACATTTACAGTGCAATATTATTAGAGTACAACACTCCGTTTAAATGCATGTTTTAACAAAATACTAGCACAATTTTGTATATGTAACTTTCATGTACAATGATTTTCCCACTTAAGACTTTACAACACTTCGTCAGCAATACAGCACATTGTATTGTATTCTTATTGAAATATCACGATTGAAAATTGAAGTATCACTTATTCACTTATTGAAATATCACGAGATAATACCAGAACAATAATTTTACTACTTTAACACCTAACAATATGATATCCGAAAAAAAAAAAACAGCACATACCACAATAAGCAAAGAGTGCAACCCCTGCTCACGTTACCTTTGTGTAAAAACCAATATCGGGAGTACAGTAATTTACCTACTTAGCATTCAAATTCAGCAATGCATCTGCAATACAGTAGTTTCTTGGCATTTTACTTGCATGGTTTATATAAAATATCACAAACATTTGTTTAATAAATCTAATTACATTGTATATGTTCAAAACAATTCCAGTACAACAATAATTGTCCTATTTCACATCAACGTTCAACAATATGGTATCAGAATATCATATTGTTAAAGTTGTTTTGCAATAATTTTGTATGAAAAAAAGATATACGGAATTTGATAATGTTTCTTCTTGTTTTCAAGTCCAAAAATGTGATATCAGTAATGTAGTACCAAGTTCTACATGTTCTTCGGTAATTTTTTTATAGATAAAATATCCGGAATTTGCTGATGCTCCTTTTTTTCATGTTCAACAAATGTGATATCAGTAATACAGTACCTTGTGCTCTACGGTCATTTTTTTCAATGAAATATCACGAAGACAACAGTTCGATTTTTACTTCTTTCACATGTACAGAACTATACCAGGAGAACAATACATTTTATACCTTTACTTTCACGTTTAACAATGCAGTAGGAGAAGATCTATAATTTGCAAACTTGCATTTTTTCAATGTCAGGTGTACAATAATTGTGCAGTTTACTTTTTGTTCAACATTGCAATATAGCAAAAATACAACACTTTGTACTCTACGCTCATGCTTAAATGAAATAGTATAACTGTGAACTATTTTGTTTACCTGAATTTCATGATAAAAAACCCACAATATCAGAACTCAGCAGTACACATTTTTAAAAATTACTTAAATTCATATTTAACAATGCAGTATCAGGAGATATAAACATATAATCTGTTCAATATTAATTTGTTCAATTTTTTGCATCGTTAAATGTAATATTAAGAGTACACAACAGTGTGTTTTTCATGTTTAACAACCTAAAAGTACAGCAATGTGTGTAGTATTTTTTCATCATCTCAAAAGTACAACAATTCGTATCCTTTACTTTCATAATACACAATGCAATATTAAGTTTAATGATAACCATTACCTAAATTCAGTTCTTTCTTTCTTTTATTTCCTTATTATACTCTACTTTTATTCACCGTGCAAGAATATGGTATAAAATGTGAATTTTTCTGACGGCTTCCAACCAAATATTGTTCGTTCAACGTTTTGTTGTCGTTTGTCATCACCCATTTCCCCCCATTTTTTGGGTACTTTTATTTTACGCGTCCACCCATTCATGTGTCAACTTATCTTTCGTTGTATGACGTATACAAACAATAGTACTCAACAGGTGGAATGACGCGTTTACGCATTGCATCGCACTGGTATATAAAATTTGGGTTGAGTTACGTAAAATAGGTATAGATACGAGTCATGGTTATTGATGCTGACACTCTTGTAGAGATAAGATATGTGTTGAAGCAAAAAGAGATCTGATATGATCGAGATTCTGTAGAGACCAGAGTAGCCAGAGAGAAAGAGAGAGAGAGAGGGGGGGGGAGAGAGAGGGGGGGGGGGGAGGGAGGGGGGGGGTGAGTGTGTTTGCCAAACATGAAACAAAGTTGACGTGTATAGACCGATGACGTGATCCAGGGTATCTGATACATTGGTAAAATTCAGTTACCGATTGTCGGTTTTGTGCCAGTTCGGCAAAATTGTCAGTGTCGAAATTCAGCAGCTCTGTTTGAACTTCAGTCTGGTATAGCAGCACCCATCATGTAGTCGTTGCAAGCGAGGACCAAGTCCAATAACCGTATGTTGATTAATGAAGTGTATCATAAGATGTGAATGTAATGACAAGATCTGAGTGAAATGCAAGATAGTTATCTCTCTTGTCCTTGTCGAAATGAGGCTCACAGACTTTGTAAGATCGTTGTTATACTGAAGACTGATATGTAATGAAACGGGTATAAAAATGAATGTACAAAACTTTACTTGCATATTGTGTTCTGGTAAAATAATCTGGATATCCATGTTTCCCAAATCTGTGTGATTTTTGAGTCGACAATTTGTAATGGGTTTAAATAATTGTATTTCATTCAGATTGCCACCCTGTCCCCCACCATTCAACTGACCCGTCGCAGAGCCAGTGATCGAGATGTAGTGAGTCGTGCCAGAGCCAGTGAGGTGTAGGGAGTCGTGCCAGAGCCAGTGAGGTACAGTGAGTCGTGCCAGAGCCAGTGAGGTGTAGTGAGTCGTGCCAGAGCCAGTGAGGTACAGTGATTCGTGCCAGAGCCAGTGAGGTGTAGTGAGTCGTGCCAGAGCCAGTGAGGTGTAGTGAGTCGTGCCAGAGCCAGTGATGTACAGTGAGTCGTGCCAGAGCCAGTGAGGTACAGTGAGTCGTGTCAGAGCCAGTGAGGTGTAGGGAGTCGTGCCAGAGCCAGTGAGGTGTAGTGAGTCGTGCCAGAGCCAGTGAGGCGTAGTGATTCGTGCCAGAGCCAGTGAGGGGTAGTGAGTCGTGCCAGAGCCAGTGTGGTGTAGTGAGTCGTGCCAGAGCCTGTGAGGTGTAGTGAGTCGTGCCAGAGCCAGTGAGGTGTAGGGAGTCGTGCCAGAGCCAGTGAGGTGTAGTGAGTCGTGCCAGAGCCAGTGAGGTGTAGTGAGTCGTGCCAGAGCCAGTGAGGTACAGTGAGTCGTGCCAGAGCCAGTGAGATTCAGTTAATCGTGCCAGAGCCAGTGAGGTGTAGGGAGTCGTGCCAGAGCCAGTGAGGTGCAGTGAGTCGTGCCAGAGCCAGTGAGTTGTAGTGAGTCGTGCCAGAGCCAGTGAGGTGTAGTGAGTCGTGCCAGAGCCAGTGAGGTGTAGTGAGTCGTGCTAGAGCCAGTGAGGTACAGTGAGTCGTGCCAGAGCCAGTGAGGTGTAGGGAGTCGTGCCAGAGCCAGTGAGGTGTAGTGAGTCGTGCCAGAGCCAGTGAGGTGTAGTGAGTCGTGCCAGAGCCAGTGAGGTACAGTGAGTCGTGCCAGAGCCAGTGAGGTGTAGTGAGTCGTGCCAGAGCCAGTGAGGCGTAGTGATTCGTGCCAGAGCCAGTGAGGTGTAGGGAGTCGTGCCAGAGCCAGTGAGGTACAGTGATTCGTGCCAGAGCCAGTGGGGTGTAGGGAGTCGTGCCAGAGCCATTGAGGTACAGTGAGTCGTGACAGAGCCAGTGAGTCGTAGTGAGACGAAGCTCTACCGCTATCCATAGGGAGTGAGATTCGTGAGTGACGGCTGAACTCTGAAGACTGCCTGAAGAGTCCATATAGTTGGGACCAGACTTAAGTATATTGTCGATCGACACATAGAGCTTCATAAAGCTAGGTAATTACAGAACTATAAAGCTGTGAAATAACTGGTGTATTTTTGTTGTTTTTTGAAGACTAAGATTGATAAGTATAACTCGAGTATTGTGATATATAATTGATTAATCATTGTAGGTGTAAGCCCTGATGTCTTTTCTGTTAAATTAAACTTTTCAGTAGACTTGTATCCGTTGAATAGAATGAATAAACATGAGCCGGTGAACGTGTTGGTGTTTATGTAAATTATTTCGTTCTGTTAGGAGCCATGGTATGTGCACGTACAAAGAGTTAAATAGTTCTTATTGTGTGTTGCTAAGAGATGTGTGTAAACGAAGGTAGAGATAGGGTGTTAGACGGGTGGGTCGTGATTGCCGGGAAAATTCAAGAAAGACAGAACGCTCAGAGCTGATAGTGATCGCACTGCGAAGTCGCCAAAATTTGCAATGGAAATTACTGCGATTTTGTTGTTGTTGTAGGCCAAAGGACGCCTTGCATACCGTGAGTATTATTCAGTTATTCAGTGATCTTTAGTACAACTGAATTTTGAGTTTTATGGTTCGTTTAGTGATTTTAATGACGTCTTCTGTAAACATATGCATTTGTATTGCACGTGATAGACGTGGTTCTAGGATCAGATTTTGATGGCGTCATTAGTTAATACATGAGTGTATTCGATTTCAACATATTGGAATATTTATTTAAATATTAAGGAAGAATGTTCAGAGTTTTGGTTGTCTTTTTAAAAAAATGATAAATCACGATATATTTTGCATGAGTAAGATATTCATATTCTGAGACTAAAGAGGGGTAAGGCTTGATTTAAAGACACCCGTTTTATTGTAAAAGCCCGTAGAAAGAATTTGGACATTTGATTAATATTACAGATGGCTCATTTGTGAGGCCGTAATGATCCAGCTGAAAGGCTTGTCCGGGAAGGACATGGATCCGTACTAGGAGAGAAGGACATGATGGTTGTTCCCCCCCCACACACACCGCACCCAAGGCGTTCTAACCGGTCCCTCCCTGCCAACCGTCGATCACAGACGACGAAAAAACGGCATGGTGGCGCCTTCAACACGGCAGCCCAAGATTTGGCCAAGACCCAGCACAAGACCTGGAGGACGGGAACACCAAGAGATTGCCAAGACAAATAAGTGATCAAGTGTGGTGGGCCCATCACTTGGTTGTAAAATAATAGATAATAGAAATTTTGATTGATATTGGTTTCACCGAATGTTGAGAGAAAAGCGCTGTTTTGATTGAAATTATTGAATTGGTGAATTGTTGAATAGTTGTAGAAAGAAAGAAAGAAAGAAAGAAAGTGGAAATTTCACTTCATTTTGGTTTGGATTCCAAAGATTTGGATTTGAAAAGGAAATCCATTGACTTGTGCACAAGAGGGTTATTTTTTTTTGATTAAGGAATTTCTATAATTTTTGTTTTGGTTTTATATTTCTATTAACTATTGAGTACATTTAATTTCACTATTTAGATTTTAATTGCTTGTTTATTTTGGTGTTTAAGTAATTAGTTTATTAAATTTCTTGATATTGATCAAACGTGTTAGTTTTGTTTCCTTTGTTTTTCAACCTTGTCTTTAGAGAGAGTGTTGGCAAACAGCCCGAAATTTAAGTTTCTGCGCGTTTTTACAGCCGCGCGTTACAGTTGGAAATAATACGCATGTTCTCAATATATATATATGTGAAACGAATCTTATAATCATACCCAAAGCTTCAGCAAATTCTACAAATTAGAATTTGTCATTTTATTTGGATGTTAGAGTTTGAATGAATCTCGGGGTCACCACACTCAAATGAAGTTGAGAGTTAGTATGTACCGTATACAGGGCGATAAAAGTATTCTACTATCGGCGTTAGAAAAGGTACGTACCTAGTGCTCTTCGCCCCTTTTTTCTGGTAATTCTGTGGAATGGAGGCAGTCTTCTCTTTGCATGCTATGTTTCTGGCAGATCGTGAGATGGAAATTCCATCAAAAAGATCTTTCAAGGTTTTTCCCATATGCTTTAGGCCAAATAGCTCTTTCTGAAGCTTTCTAATTTGCTCTGGAGTGTGTACGTTTTCGCCACCATCTTTATCAATTGCCTGATCCAAAATGCCCCTTTCGCATTCATACTGTCTCTTCATGTCTTCCATTGCAGCCAGAAGAATGTCGTTTCGGATTTCCTTGGATTTGTGTCTCTCATGTTTAATAGACATATCAAGATAGTCACCAACAGCGTCATTGTATGGTATGAGAGCATTTGCTTTGAGGAATGAGCCATACTTGGCGCTAGTTTTCACGATCATGTTTTCCTCTTCCATCAATTCCGAATTTTTTGTATCAATTGCTTTTTTGAAAGCTTCCTTGGTTTCTCTAGCATTTTTCTTTTCATTGATTTGTGTTTGAACTGCTTCAGAAAGGAATTCAGTGGGAAAAACCTCAAGGTCATACGTCATGTGCATATGAGTGGTGTAATGGTGACCGCACTCGGAACAATTCGTCCGTTGCTCATCGAAGCGACGTTTCGTGGACTGACGAAAGTTCTTATATGCAGCGAATACGTCAGAAGGTGGAGCACTCGACAAATTAGTCCCAATTATGCACGCACAACCTTGTAGTCTTGCATCATTTAATGTTTCCGTTGGAATTCCGGCCAGTCTACAATGAGGATGGCATATTTGCTCGTATACTGTGTTTTGTGTACCACTTGCACCGATTGGGACATATCTGACACATTCTGAATCTGCACAGACTGTTCTAGGATAGCCTAGCTCCACGCGCTTAAGGTCAAATCCAGGAAACTTCAATTTGGCTTTCAAGCTGTCCATATCTTTGTCAACCAGGTCAATTTGTTTCATAACCTCCTTGCCTTCTTGTATATTTTGTTGGATTGTCTTGGCCACTTCTGCCAAGGGTTTGCTCATGGCCAAGATGATTCTTCGAGTCTCATTCATACTCAAAGTATTCCGAATATTGTGGGGCGTCAAAAAGCTGATGTACTTAAATAGCTTCTTGGTTTCTTCAACAGACTTGTTCCAGCTGTCAGCATAAGTTGTTATCTCCACTGGGCTAAATTCCACCCCATTTTTCACACAAGCCAAAAAGCGGAAAGGCTCGTTATCAAAACAGAAGTAGTTGCTTGGAGAAGCTTCAATTCCAACCTGTTTATTCCTGAGCTCTCTGTTAAGGGTTGGCAAGGTGTCTCCAGGCTGATAGAATGTAGCTCGAGCATTGGTGAAGCAGAATACAATATTGTCTTTGGCCGACGAATGCAGATGGACCAAGAGTTCTTGGATGCAAAAGCGGAACATTGCTGTTAGACGAGAATTGTTAGGTTTGAGAAGTATGCACACAGCATGAATCTCCTCGTAGAAGGTCAGATGTGATAGTATATTGTCAAAGTTTTTCCGATCTTCTTGTATACCTTCAACATCTCCTATTCCTGGTGTGTCAATCAAGCGAACGATTTCCGTTCCAAAGGGGAAGACATAAGATTGAGGCTCTTTGGTTGCAGATTTTCCGGCTTCCATGTTCTCATTGGTGTCACTTTCCCCAACCATTATCTTCTTAATCGTCCCGTGTTGTGTAAAGGTGAAACTGGACGGTATTAAAACCTGAAAGTCCTTGGCATTCAATGCTTCCTGAAGATCAGCATAGTGAATATAGTTAATAAAACCATTGATCCACGTCGATTTTCCAACGCCTGTCTCACCCAGGATCAAGATGTTTGTCTCCTTCATACCCCGAAGATTTGACAATTCCTCAGAGAGAATATCGTGTGGATACGTGACGTAGTTCAGGCCGTGATCCTCCTCGTTACAACGCCAGAGTGATTTGTTTGGGTCAGATTCTCCGCATTTGCAGTAAAACATTTTAGTTTCTATGCCATATTCAACCAACTCTTTGCATTTGGAACACTTCCAATTGACAGGGTTGCCTAAACATTGACCATTTCCGGCCAAAGCATTTGGGCATCTTAGCTGGACAAATGTTCGGTTGTTTGGATTTTTTTGCTTGTAGGCTGTGCTCGTGAGTTGTAGGCATATCAGACACATCTCACAGTCTCGGCCCTCTTTGGTGTAGATGTCTTCCGATTTTCGACTTCCTTTTACAAAGCTATGAATGGTTGTCTTCTTTTCACCAGAGGGCCAAATATCCTCTCTTAGGTCTTGGTCCACAACAATGAATTTGTGGTCTTCCTCATGAGCATGAGTTTTTTGTAGTCGTAAAAAGAACTCTCGATTTTTCTCATCAAGATCGCTCTTTACATTCTCTTCGCCAGTCTTGTAGAGCACGTACACCATTTCCCTGTCGTCCACGGTAAATTCATCTTTCTTCCCGATGTAGATGATTCCCATCTTCTTCCATGATTTGATAGATTTAAGTTTGTTCAGATCTTTTTGAAACTCTCGAATGGAATCGTTGAAACTGCAACTGGAAAGTGTCCCAGGCAATTCTTCACCCAGGCATGCCTCGATGTTAGAGACACCTTCACTTCCAGACTTGACTTTCTTCACCAAATTTTGAAGCCTAGACTTAAAACCAGCTTCTTGCACAACGAACTTGTTTAAGATATCCTCTATCCTAGCTAGAGATCCTTCAGCGACATATTCGGCGCTGGCATGCAGATCATTTTGAATATCGTAGAGAGATTGTCTCTTTTTGGTGATTCCCTCCACAACCTGTGCACACTTTTTGATGATGTCGTCGTTGATTGATGTGTATTTTATTTGAAGTTGTATCTGGAAATTACAAATCTTGACGACAACATCCAGTGGCATCAACGTGTAAAGCAATGGAACCCCCTTCCCTTTGTTTGTAGCTTGAACTAGACTTGGGAGATTTTTTGCTAGTTCAACAGCACCTTCAAATGTCACAGGTAGATCCTTGTCAGGAGCCGACACATCCGCTTTACATTTGAAGGTGAACTTTTTGTGATTTTCTTTGTTTTTATCATCATATGATGCTTTTGCAGACCCTTTGACATCAACCAAACCTTCGATTTTTTTAATTTCTGCAGTCAATGCCCCTTTGACTTCAGTGACATTGTTATCTTCTGTGTTTTCGTACTCACAGGTAACCGTGCAAACTGCTCCCCAATCAATAGCAACAACCACATGGGTAGCATCGATGGTTTGCCCATTTAAAGGTGACAGAATTTCCAGGTCGATCTTATCTTTGTTCTGGCGAAGCATGATCTCTTCATTGACTGTTCTCAGCTTGTAGATTAGACTCATACTTTGAGCTCTAGCGCTCTTTCTTTCCTCCCCTAGGTAGGATCCTGATCCACTCAACTTGATCAGGCCGGCCAATAAACTCACCTGAAGCTCTGCCTCTACATTCAGTGTGTTGAATTTTTCCTGTATGTTGTCTGACATCACAATCTCTATCGAGGTATCCCCGAGATCCATTGTATAAACTGCATCGTCTTCAAGCTTCGAGCCAAACAGAGTATCACCCTGAAAAAGAAATGAATGCCACGTTACATCTAATTCATTTCTTAAAGTTTACTAATTGACCATTTAATCATTATTGATACCAAATGAGAGTTACGATTAGGCAAGGAAAACACTGAGGCCATTGATGAGGCCACACATGTACAAAGCATACAACCGATCCAATCATATTGTAACGTGCGTCACCAAGTCGGTCCCTTGCCTCTCTGGCCTGAGTCCCGATGGAATTGAAGCACCTGCGGTTAGGCCAAAAAAAAAAAGTCTCCGGTTTCTGGTATGGAGCTTGCCCCAAAAGTGGTGCGGCGACGCGGCTTTTTTTTTTTTTTACCTATTTTTTTTTTTGGCTTCACATGTCGGCTGATGACTGCAAATGGTGCCCGACTAAACTTAGTGCAAATATATGGGAGTCCAGAGAGGCCACATAAAGCTTATTCTCGATCATAACCCCATCTAAAAACACGTTAAAATTGTGCAGCGGCAGGATTCCAGTCAAACCAGTGAGTTTGGCGGTTTTGAGACATCATCTTGTATTGAAAAAAAAAACTTTTTCATTTTGCCGACGCGCATGGCTACGGCGACGCGCGCGCATACCAGAAACCGGAGACTTTTTTTTGGCCTTAGAGGCCATGGTAACAAGTGACGTACATCACTCCCAAATCTGCACCACCAGGGGAAAGCGCTAACTCTCTTGGGATTGAGAGGATCGGGTGAATAAACCTGTGGTTTTGGATGGATTAACCTGTGGTTTGGGTGGCTGACCGGTGGCCCTGGGTTACTGGCTGGTGGCTTAGTGGCTTAGGTGGCTGACCGGTGGTTAAGAGTTGGGGGGAGAATTACACCCTAGTTAGCAACAATTAGACAGTAAAGCAGAGTCATGAGATTTCTTTGGCTTCATTGGTCCCCCTAGCGAAGAAGTGAGGTTCATTCTCTCGCACTGTGCCTTTCGTAGGCCAACATGATCATATACATTCACATACAATAAATGCACATCATTGATACAGTACACAGGATTTCTTAACCAATGAAAATGCAGTATTAATTAGTAGATGACTTAAGCCGTGCCCACTAACAGCGCTGGCCAATTGGATTGCGATATTCTAGCATGAGTGACTCTGCACTAAAAAAAGGTCACTATACAGTTCATGTTAATGTATAAAAAGTATAGTTGATGATTCATCTCATGACCTCCCCCGAGTTTTCAGTCCCTAAACTGTTCAGTCTTAATTAATTAAATAGTTAAATTTTCCACTGTGTTCTGAACACGCACAAAATAAAATTAGGTTTGGCCCTACACCGACGTTTGAACACTGTATACTCAGTGTGTTACCTCCCGAGTGTGGAAAAAATCACTCGGGTGGGACTCGAACCCACGACCTCCTGCTTTCTAGTGCAGATGTCTTACCACTCGACCACCGAGCTAACGGGATCGGCAAAACCGGCAAAAGGGCAAAACCTAATTTGATTTATATCACCCCGACGCAAACATTCCATCTTATAATAGTTTATGCGGTACCCGCTGCTATGTACATCAAATTCGAACCAGCCAGCCGATCCCGTTAGCTCGGTGGTCGAGTGGTAAGACATCTGCACTAGAAAGCAGGAAGTCGTGGGTTCGAGTCCCACCCGAGTGATTTTTTCCACACTCGGGAGGTAACACACTGAGTATACAGTGTTCAAACGTCGGTGTAGGGCAAAACCTAATTTGATTTATATCACCCCGACGCAAACATTCCATCTTATAATAGTTTATGCGGTACCCGCTGCTATGTACATCAAATTCGAACCAGCCAGCCGATCCCGTTAGCTCGGTGGTCGAGTCGTAAGACATCTGCACTAGAAAGCAGGAGGTCGTGGGTTCGAGTCCCACCCGAGTGATTTTTTCCACACTCGGGAGGTAACACACTGAGTATACAGTGTTCAAACGTCGGTGTAGGGCAAAACCTAATTTGATTTATATCACCCCGACGCAAACATTCCATCTTATAATAGTTTATGCGGTACCCGCTGCTATGTACATCAAATTCGAACCAGCCAGCCGATCCCGTTAGCTCGGTGGTCGAGTCGTAAGACATCTGCACTAGAAAGCAGGAGGTCGTGGGTTCGAGTCCCACCCGAGTGATTTTTTCCACACTCGGGAGGTAACACACTGAGTATACAGTGTTCAAACGTCGGTGTAGGGCAAAACCTAATTTGATTTATATCACCCCGACGCAAACATTCCATCTTATAATAGTTTATGCGGTACCCGCTGCTATGTACATCAAATTCGAACCAGCCAGCCGATCCCGTTAGCTCGGTGGTCGAGTGGTAAGACATCTGCACTAGAAAGCAGGAGGTCGTGGGTTCGAGTCCCACCCGAGTGATTTTTTCCACACTCGGGAGGTAACACACTGAGTATACAGTGTTCAAACGTCGGTGTAGGGCAAAACCTAATTTGATTTATATCACCCCGACGCAAACATTCCATCTTATAATAGTTTATGCGGTACCCGCTGCTATGTACATCAAATTCGAACCAGCCAGCTGATCCCGTTAGCTCGGTGGTCGAGTGGTAAGACATCTGCACTAGAAAGCAGGAGGTCGTGGGTTCGAGTCCCACCCGAGTGATTTTTTCCACACTCGGGAGGTAACACACTGAGTATACAGTGTTCAAACGTCGGTGTAGGGCAAAACCTAATTTGATTTATATAACCCCGACGCAAACATTCCATCTGATAACGCACAAAATACTTAAACAGAGTTAAGATTTTGAATAACAGCCACATCCATTTAGAAGGGCAAAACATCTTAGAACAACTTTAAAATTAATAACTAATCCTTTTACAGTTTTATTAAGGTTTTATTTGCACATGTATAACAAAATAAAGTGGTTCATAATTCACCCTATAACTCGGTCCTCAATGTTTTAACTTTTAAAATCAACTGTAAAACGTTTAATAACTGAATTGAACTTCAAAACTAAACTTAAAAACTCTTTGACTTTTATAAATACTTATAAACTTCTGTGAAATTTTATACATAAGCTTTATGACTTCAACCTTATCACTTTAAAAATAAAAGTCCTCTTGGCCTCTTTCTAGTCGTACGGAACTCCTTGGCGGAAGACTCAGGTGATGGTGGTTACCTCTATGTGATCTGCCACCATCTTCTCCGCCGATTTGTCGCTTTCCGTTGATGAGCTTACCGCGGGAACCATCTCGGAGTGAAGCAGCTTCAACGACTTCTCCCAGTCTTTGGATGACCGGTCTGGCTCTGGTGGCATGGTAGATGGGGACCGTGACTCGGATGCTTGAAGCTTGGCGCCATCTTTCTTCCCATTATGTTTTCGGGAATCGGCGTGGCGGTCTAGGCTGAACTTCCTGGTGAAGAACTCCCCACAGGTGGTGCAGATGAAGGGCGATGGGTCGGCATGCACCTCCTGTACATGTCTGGCTAGGCTTGCCTCGATGCAAATTTCTTGTCGCAACTTCACGCACGATAAGGGTAGGAGGTGGTGTCGGTTGGTTTTGTCGGGGCTGGTTTGAACTCAGGCTTCTGTGTATTCGGCTTCCTCTGTAGCTTGTTGGCCCCGCGGTCCTCCACCCCCTCCCGGTCGCGTTTCCTGCCCTTGGCCGCCTTGTTCCCCTTATCTCAGGGTCGGTCATTCCTTCCATCCGGCATTACAATAGTGAATGGTGTGCCGTCAGCTCTTCGCTCTGTTAATGGATGGTTAGTGATGCCGCTTGTCAGCAAAAGTCATCGATTCATGCACCAACTTGATGGAGTCTACAGTGGCTCTGATGGCTGAAGTGGAACTTGTGGTGGCTGAAGTCGAGAGTGCAGAATTTACGAGGTCGATGTAACAAGGTTTAAACACAGAACTCCCTCCAAGACCACCAATGCAAATACACACACGTACGTACGTGATAAAAACAAAAGTGATGAAAGTTAAAGCAGTGCTCACTGGGAATTATTCTGGCTAAATTTTCGGCCCTGATGGGAGGAGTCGTATCTGTAATACGACTCCTCCCGTTCGCAGTCTTTTAAGGATTCTATTCCTTACTCACAGCTCCTCAGACTACGACGTATTTGAAGTGATGACAACGATTTCAGGCAACAAGCTTCTACGATGGCCACATTTTTCATGGACAGAGGGTACCCCTGACCATATCAAAGGCCTTGCGTTGAGTTTCTGTAACCGCAAGAAAGCACGTTCTCTATTGGCTACGTTTGCAAACAAGCGCATCCCTTTGGTCCTCACCTACCACCCGTTTAAACTGCGGGTTCGTACTATCATCCTTAAAAAGTTCCACACGCTAGAAGTTGAGCCTTTGACCAGCCACATCTTCAACAACGACTTAACTCCCTTCGTTGCTTTCAGACGTGTCCAACCCATTGGACAGACTTTAATCCGATCAATGCTCCCGCCAGTCTCCGCTGTTAACGACATCAACACCGGCACCACAGCTTGAAATCGCCCACGCTGTAATACGTGCAGGTCCATCCACAATCCACCGCAGATCGATGGTCCCAAAGGTAGTTATACACCCAGAGGATATTTCACTTGCGTATCTAGCAACCTGGTGTATTGTATCTCCTGTCAACTATGCGGTGTCCACAACATTAGCGAAACGACGCATCGTTTGGCTGACTGATATACTGAGCACCTTCGAAGTGTCCGACTCAATTTCCTCGGACACACTGTGGCGCGCCACCTCTCCAAGCCACCACGCACGTGTGACGACATGCGCGTGTGTGTCCTGACCATGACAACATCGAACGCCCAAGATTAGAACGCTCACGCCAGGCGGTTTGAAAGTGGATTTTTTCTGCATTCAAACAGTCAAAGCTCCGATAAAGGCCCAGCAGGGCCGAAAATTCAGCCAAAATAATTCCCGGTGAGCACTGCTTTAATATTTGTTTACGTACAAATGGCACACACTGTGCGTGGTTGCCGAGCAACCACGTGGTTCTTGGTTGATTCACCTTCAGTAAACACGTACAGGATGACAACTTTTTAGCAGATTCTTCTGCTAGATCTAGTAGATTTGTCTTCCTTTCTTGTATGGGCTAAACTTCGTAGTTCTGTAGCCTAGCGGGACATTGCCTCTGGCGTTTTGGGTATTGCCTGATGACGGAGAGTTGGGGATTTGATGCTGGTTCTTGCTCCTGGTCTGGAATCAGGCCCATTGTGATATCTTCACTGCCGTTTTCTTGTGTGGAAATGTGTTGTTCTTCCTTGATTTCTTCCAGTCGTTCAACAGAGGGCTTGAGGTTAGGTTGGCCTCCCTGGTATTTTCCTGTGTCGTCTGTCTTTTCCCCAAGTGGATTATCTTCCGGCAAGTGTACACCAACTTTATCAGCTGGTAGAGGTTCCTGCTCATCCTCTACGGCTCGGTCTCCGGCTCCACAGGAACGCTATCTCTCCCCTCGGTCTGCCATTTTCTTCTTTCGGGGCCTGTGTAGATCTTCAGTTTGTCATAATGTACAACCTTTGGCTTTGATTTTGGTTTCTCTTGGATCCTAAAGGTTACATCTGATAACATCTTCAGGACAAAATATGGGCCAATCCATTTGAACTGCAGCTTGGGAGACAATCCTTTCTTGCGTGCAGTGTTCTGCAGCGATCATAGTTAGGCTTTTGCCTCTGAAGATTTACTTTCATTTTGCTCTGAGCTCTTTGATGTGTCACACTCATCTTCTGTCTGACATTTGGTACAGTCAGTTGTCATGTGGTCATCACTGTCGGTTGGTAGTTCGGTAAACGCGTGTAGTCGTAGTGCTCTCTCCCGCCCCATAAGCATGGTGCAAGGTGACTCTCCGATGCTTTCTTGAGCCGTTATTCGGTATGCCTTTATCGAGTATGCCCACTGGACATCCAGATTTTTCTGTACTGGCTTTACAAACGGCCAAACCAAATTCATCAAGCTTCGGTTGAATCTTTTTAATGAACCCATCGGATTTAGGGTTCCAAGGGCAAGTTCGTGTCTGGTCGATCCCCAGCAATCTGCACATTTCTTTGAATATGGCAGACTGGGAGTTTGTGCCTAGGTCGCTTTGGATCTCCTTTGGATAGCCATACCTGCAAATAAATTGATTCATCAGAGTTTCTGCTATGGTCAATGTCTTCTGGTTGGGGTGTGCCGTATGCCTCAATCCACTTTGAAATGGATCTCCTACGAGAAGTACATACGCATTGCCACGGTTTCACCTGGGTAGGGGCCCCATAACATCTAGAGCGATTCTATGCACCTACTATGCACCTATTGTGTAATGCAGACGGGGAGCCCGGGGTTTCTTGTCTGGTGATTTTCTCCTTGCACACACCGTGCATTGGCGAACTTTGGAGCGCACATCGGCTGATACTCCTGCCCAGTAGTACCTTTGTCGGACCGTGTGTATGGTCTGGCGCACTCCTTGGTGACATGCCGTTTTACTATCATGGAGTTCATCCAGGACACTTTCCCTCAGACATGACGGCAAAATCACTTGCAACTTGCATTGTCTCCTGTCATCCGTTTCAAAGCGTCGATATGTTGCATCTTCAGCTGTTGCCACCGGACCCAATAGGCTTTGGTTGGTGCGGAATCATTGAAGATAGCTTCCCACTCTAGTCTGTTCCCTCCTTTCTCCTTAGCTCTCATGATAGGCCGGATTGTTGTATCGTCTAACTGCTTTCCCCTCAGTTCCTTCAGCGGACATTTTGGCGAGGGACTTATCGTTCTTTCCCCCGATCTGCATTCTCCGGTCCCCCGCCTCCAGAACGTTTTGCTGGCCAATATCTTCCCCTTTTGTCTCCTTATGTTTTTCCTCGTTCCGAGTCTCGACAACTGCAGGATCCTCTGGTCAACTAATCCTTCTGAGAACAAACTCTCCTTCTTCTTCGGGGTAGACTAGTATGGGTGCAGATGTCGGCTGTGTTTTCAGAGTGCGGAAGCAATCTCGCAGTCCTCTGTCCACAGGAACATCCAGTTCTTCTCCATAAGTCGGTGCAATGGTCGGGCAATCTTGGCAAACCCTTAAATAAAACGTCGGTAGTAAGTGGCCAATCCAATGAAACTCCTCACATGTTTGATGGACCGAGATGTTGGCCATTCCTCCACCACATTCACTTTCTCGGTGGCTTAGCCCTCACTGGCAATCACATGTCCCAGGTAGGCTACCGATTGTTTGAAGAGGCTACACTTCTTCGGCTATAGTTTGAGGTTGGCCTGTCTCGGCCTCCTGAATACTTCCTCAAGTCTCTCTATCTCCTAATCCACCGTCTTGGTAACGACCACTTTGTCATCCAGGGGCAGTAGTAGTGTTTCCCACTGAACCCCGGCAAGAATCCTTTCCATAAGCCTCTTGAATGTAGCCGGGGCGTTACAAAGGCCAAAAGACATGACCTTCCACTGGTACAGTCCTTCTCTGGTAACAAAAGCTGATTTGGTCTTGGCATCCCCATTTAGTTCCACTTGCCAGTATCCACTAGCCAGATGTAGGCTACAAAACCACTTTGCCCCTGCTGCGAATCTAAGCTGTCGTCCACCCTGGGTATGGCATGTGTTCGTTGAGAAACCGGTAGTCCACGCAAAATCGGCTGGGTCCATCTTTCTTCATCACTAAGATGACCGGAGACGCCCATAGGCTATTAGATGGCACGATTATCCCCTTCTGTAGCATTTCTTGTACCTGCTCATCCGCCTCTGCCAGTTGCCAGGTAGGGAGACGTCTGGGACGTTGCCGTATGGGAACGTAACATCCGTCCTTCTCTCCTGGCGCCTTCTCTCTATCTTGACTCTCCAGTAAGTTCTCAACACTCTGCTGGTACAGATCGGTGAGATGCTCTGGAAGTTCTTGACCAGCTTTATGCTCTGTTGTTTCTTCCTCTCTTTCCATCATCCTAATCATAGAGCAATCATCTTTTTGAATGTCCTTGTCAGCCGTATATGTGATGGTTCCCAAAACACTACCTTCACTGATCATCACAATTGTTGTAATTGGTTTGAACACTCGCACCTGGTATTTATCTGCAGTGGCATCCACACGTACTCTCGCCACCATGAGTCCTCGTTTTGCCACCTTACTCCATTCTGTTGGCTAGACGATTCCCCATCCATGGAGGTCCTTCTTCCTATCCAGAGCACCAGTTCTTGTAGTCTTTTCCGCTCCCACTCGGCAGCTAAAAATGCTCGTCTACCTTTTCTTTGTAGAGAAATCACATGCTGCCCAATCTTCAATTGCTGATGCCTCAAGTCCAGTACACAGCCAGTAGGTAATTCATGTCGAGTATTCTTTGGTTTCTGATGGATGCAAACAAGACTTCCACCTCCGCTTTTATCCTCCAATTTGTATCTTCATCTTGGCACTTCCTTTTAGCTTGTTGGATAACTTCATCGACCGGTGTCAGCATAGGTGTTGTTTCTCGATCCATTATGTCGATTTTGCGTTTATCAATGTCTCCGACGACCCAGTGTCTATTAGTAATGACAGTGGACGTGTCCCGATTTCACTCGGCACAAATATCCCATATAAAGCAACTCTACTTGGTAGTGATACTGGGTTGAGCTGCTTCCTTGGCAGTTCTTCACCATCCTTTACTTGTTCTGGATCTGTATCACAGGCTTGGCGTGTGGAGTTGCCAACCTTCCCACGACGACCTGGGTTGGTGCAGAGTGGTTTCCCAAAAGTGAGCTACTCTTCATCTCAGGGCAGTTTCTCTTAAAGTGCCCTGTTTTTCCCACAGTGGTAGCAGGCTAGTTTTTGACGCTTCTGTTCGAAGTCGGCTTGTTCGGGGCGCCGTGTGTCATACTACATTGCTTGAGTAAGCCCGGCCAACATCTGATGCACTTGCCTCAGTTACTCCGACATTGCCCGTGTTTGCCTTTCGAACTCATCTTTTGAAACTATCTCCACTTGTCTTGTGACTTGATCGTTTCTGTCTGGGCAACCACCTTAGTTTTGCTTTCGTTATCTCTCCGCTTTCAGAAAAGACTCGGTCTTCAGCGCGTCTCTGATCGCCTCATCCAACGTCTTCGGATGCGCTCTGAAGATTCCCGCTCTAATCTCTGCATCGGGTATGGCATCCACCAGATACCCTCACGCTAGACGCTCTCTGCTATCTCTGGGCAGTTCAGGATACGAACTGTCCAGCGCTTGCAGACTTTCATTTTCTGTCGTTGTTCTGCTCCTAAGCTCGGCTAGGTACGCTGTGGCTTGCTCGCCAGGCCCATAACATCTTGCTTGTCTTGCTGTGAGCTCTGAGTATGTCAGCATTTCCCCTGTAGCCCTGTCTCCTAGCACCTGCTGTGCTTGACTTTTGAGACTTGCTGCCAGGAAGTAGGCTTTCTCCTCTGCTGACCAGCTATTAATAACTGCACAGGACTCAAAATGAGATTTATAGTCTCTCCATGGCACCACGCCGGTGAATCAGTCCGGAACGATATTAGGCTTCCAATGAACTCTGTTGGTTCCTTCTGCTCATGCACTGGCTGCTCTCATTTGGGTTTTGCTCCTGTGGTCCAGGCAGAGTTTTCTTTTCCACTGGTTCTTTCTCCTCAGATCCCCTGGTTTCCTCAGGTGCTGCCCTGTGCTCCTGACTTCTTTCACCATCCTCCGTGGTGCTGTACACTGCTGATGATGTCCAGGCGCCTCTCCCATTTGCTGCTGCAGATTACACCTCGCATCATACGCCGACCGTGGGGTGTTTAAGCTACCTTGCATTTCTCCTTGAGGCCATCAAAACTCCACCAGAACATCGCTCGATCCGGTAGGTATCGGCCGTTGAACCTCTGCTGGTTCTACTCCGCCCCAGTCAGTAAAGCTCTGGTAGACAGGTAGCTCTACTGCTCCCGGTCCCCATGTCACTGGTGTTGACATGAACCTTGTCTGATGAGAATACTGTGCAGTGCCGACCGTGGGTGTCATCACTTCCCCAACTCCTCCTTTCTGTTGAAAGAGTTTTTGTGCTGTCACCGGCGTCCGTCGCACACCCTCTGTCATTTCATCCACCTCCCCTAATCTTGGCTGTTGCACCCTGATGCCAACACCCGTCATGCTCTCGGCGGTATTGCGGGCGTCAACACAGGAGGCAATGGTGTTACCGCCGGATGCAGTCCTATGCTTGCTCTGCTGGTCACTCTGGCCGGTGTTGCCTGAAACTATGGCCCGGTCCGGATGGAGATAATTGAAGCACCTGCGGTTGGAGGCCACAGCACCAAGTTACGTACAACACTCCCAAATCTGCCCTACCATGGGAAAGTGATACTGAACTTGTGTTTGGGATTGAGGGGACTGGGTGGATCAACCTGCGGTTTTGGGTGGATTAACCTATGGTTTGGGTTGCTGACCGGTGACTGTGGAATACTGGTTGGTGGCTAAGAGTGGCTGATCGGTGGCTCAGGCTGGCTGATCGGTGGCTCAGGGTGGCTGGCCGCAGGCTTAACTGATAGGTGGCTCAAGTTGGGGAGACTTACACCCTAATTAGCAACAATTAGACAATAAAGCTGAGACAGAAGACTTCTTTGACTTTTTTGGTCCAACCTAAGCGAAGAAGTGAGGTCTATTCTCTGGCAGTGTGCCTTTCATAGGCCAACATGATCATGTACATTCAAGTACAATAAATGTACATCTTTACTAAAGTACACAGGATGCCTTTACTCTTAAGGGGCCGGGTGGATAGCCTTGAAAAAATGTTTCGCGACCCGAGCTGTTCCGACTTTTTAGCCTCGAACCTTGCTTGCGCCACGCGCCGTGAAAACTGAATTTTCCCATATAAGGCGTAGTGTACACAGAGCAGAATTACCATTTCTCATCGTGTGAT